TTGCCATTATATCATTCAGAATGGGATTTATGCATTATTTGCCAATACAAAATACTTGAAAAATATTTATTTATTAATGTACGTAGTGAGATGTAACTCTCGTCTGACCTCCTTCCTCCCCTTATGAGTTTTAGAGTTTGTAGAATTTTTTATGGCAGACTAAACATCATTATATTACAAAAGGGATTATGAAGAAGACAATTTTGATACTCCTGCTTCTGTTGTTCTATTTTTGTTGTTTTTGTGGAACTCTTTTAGTTCATCAATCCTGTTTCTAATATCTCATTTTATTCCTACTTATTTACTTACAGACTTTGTTTTTCTTCTTATGTTTTTATGCTTCTTTTTGTGTCATGTTAGATTAGGGGTTATGTGCTGACGAAATTATTTATGCAATATTTTTGAAGATTGAGGCTGTTTGTGTGTCTTAATGGTAAAAAATGATTCTAATGGCCATTATGAGCTGTTCTTTAAGAATTTGAATCATCTGAAATTTGTCTAGTATGGGAAAACTTACCAAAATAGCACAAGTCGGTCAATCGAATAGAAATCTGGCGCCAAGCCGACATGACTCAGGTAAGGTGCTGGCTTCAATTTAAATATAGCCCTATGCCAGAGTCATACTGGCTTAGTGACGGATTTCTAATCAATCATCCGAATTGTGCCATTCACTTCTCTGGAACCCCTAAAACCCCATCCATCAAATCAATTTTTGCGTATTCTAAGAATACGGCAAGGAAAATAAAATGAAACGTAATCATTGTTAGAAGCTTGAACCCAACATATAAGCAGTGAATTTATATACTCATTGGAGTTAAATCAACACAATATTTTACGTAAGAGGAATACAAAAAACATTGCATTTTTCCTTTTCTTTCTTCCTCTCTGTGATAAAAGCACATTACATACTAAGCCTCATCATTATCTAGGGAAACAACAAGAGAGAATATGTACTCAACTGAATATGTATGCTTATTGTGTATTAAGTATTGAGTAGAAAAGAGAGAAAAAAGTGAGTTTTTGTGTTTTTGGGGAAAAGTACGACAAGTAAAAAGGGTTCGCCATTTAAATACTTTTCAATGCTTCTTCTTGTTTATCACATACAATACGTAGGAGTCTTTAACATATTAGGTTAACCATATTCTGTTAAAATTGGCACACAGCCTTGAATTGTTAACTTAATCATTCAACTTCTTTACAATAAACGACTCTAATAAGTGACAAAACCTCTAAACAGCCCCCCATTTCAAAAATATGATACGGATACATTCATTAATGATGCTACTCGACCGATATCAGTCTTCTTCTATTTTACGTTAAAATATATGTGTAAACCAAACATACATGAAAGGGTGGAAATGTTATACAAAGAGAAATACTTCAAATAAAGGCAGAGACTTAAGGTACATATAAAAAACACATCATTATTTTAAATCCATTGTCTGTTATTGTTCTACTTATAAACTTCATTCATGATGATAAAAAGATGGTTTGAGATCCTTTTTTTGCAGAGAACAAGCTACAGATCCTTGTTAAAGGTAGGAACAATGAGGGTGTGAGTAAAAATGTATAACGTATTTGTTTTTAATTTAATCCTAATTTGGGTCAATGAAGGTTCAACAAGAAGTATTTTTTACTCTGTGTTATCTTCTTAACACACAAAAAAGTGATATCGGTTTGATGCCTTTTTGAGAAAGGCTTTTGTATTGATAACAAGTGATCAAGAACAAGAAGAAATGGATTGAATTGAAAGTTTTATCGGATAGAGAATTGATATTGAATTCTAGTTAAAAGGTGTCGATGCCTCATTGATTAAACTTCTCTTTTATTCTGTTATGCTTGCTATGGATTAGGTGATGCTTAAGCTTTAGTTTCTATTGCTGAAAAGCTTTTTATTTAATGCAGTTGTTGGTTTTTCCAGGGGTGTGTCTTTTTTTTATCTCGAGGTGGTTCAGGACACTTCTGATCATCCTTTAGCTAAACCACAGCATCAAGGTGAGTTGAACTAATTTGCAGGAACTGTTTCATAACGCCTATAAGGTTCAACAAGCTCCTCCTTCAAAAATTATACCAAAACATCAATTAACCTATTTCATTGCTCAATCATAAACTTTGTCAACCTTCCCCGAACTTTGTCACATGTGAAACAAGAAAAACAATTCATTTAATATCTACACATTGACTTTGTAACTTTTTCTCAACTCCACTTCCACAATCCCATCATTCATTATCATCAATTTGATCAATAAAGAAAAGTAAAAAAGTAAAGACAAATTGAAGTGATGACTGAAATCTAAGATGGACAATTAAGGTTGTAATCCCTTTTTGAAACTGAAACTTTTCTTAAAGGAAACCTTTTTGCTCGATTTCTTTATCATCAGTACATCAACAAACTGTTTTTAAATAAGGAAGAAGAAGGAGCGAAATTAAATGAAATCGATAGAAGTTGGGGATGAGAAAGGATGGATAAAATTATATAGATTGAAAAATAAAATCAAAAGTTGTAATTTAATTCCTTTATGCAATCAAAAAGAGATGGAGATGAAGGAAAAGTAGAAACTTTTTGACTTTTGTGTACGTCTTTTGGATCCCCTTTTGAGAAATTTCCTATGTATGATATTGGATTTAATATTTTTGTATGTGAGCTGTTGATGTTCATTTTTCATTTATTTTATGGAGTTGGTGAAAATTTATGACTAGCTTTATGTGCGTCTGATATAACTAAATATGACTGAATCCCATGGGAAGCCATTCACTCAAATGTATCCCAGATGCCCCACACGTCTTATTTTCACTTTATGGATACTGCTATGAATGATTGATTGTGGCAGAGTTGGGTTTACTGCGGATAGGTTGCAAGATATTTGAATGTAAGGCTCAATCCAAACGGTGAAATGGCATCAGTAGCCTAAATGGTAGAGCGTTTGCCTTCTGTGCCAAAGGTCCTGGGTTCAATCCCAGGCCATGTCTAATTTTCGAAGCTCTTTTTCCATTTCACCGTTCTAGTTACGAAGCTCGGTTCGTGTGTTGGGTGTAGTTTTGATGTCTTTGGCACAGAATATACCTCCTTTGCTAGGTATACAAGGATATACTAGCATCTGGATGACTTCCTTACGGCATCTTGCGCACACGAATTGTGACTAGGTACATTGCAGGGTACATCAGGTCTTATGACGTACTCGTGTCTTTGCAATGTGCAGAGCTTGCAAGTGGTTCCGATCCTACTATAAACTGTAGGTCTAAAGGGTGTGGTACAATAGATTCTGTTCTGATTTGAATCGCAGTGCCTCCAGTTGAAAGGCTGGGCCCTTCACACATTATTATTATTAAGGCTCAATCCTCTTCCATTGTTCCATCAACATTTAAAATATTTGAATTCAACATAATCCAATAGATACATTAAGCAGACCATTCTAAAGGTTCAAAAAAATTACTCCACAAAACAGCCTCGGTCAACATCACAAAGGACGGCTCAAAAAAGCCAAAACTTATCACAAATAATATCATTTTACTGAATCAACAAGAAGATAAAGCCATCCCAACTCATTAAAATAAATGAAGCTTAATCCACACAAAGCATCTAAAAAGGTGCTCATGAGGCTCATTCAATGAAATTGTTTAACAAAAAAAAGTTTTGCCTGAACAAATTTTTTAAGCCCAAATTGTTGTAGAAGAAGCTGTTGTAGCCATAAAATTTAATCCATGAATAATTGAGATTCCCCAATCTAATTCACAACTCTGCTTTAACAAAAGTAATTTTTTTGCACACCCTTCAATTTTCACACTGTAAAAGTTACATTTTTCTTTTGGAAAGTGAAAGTGCCTACCGACTAGTGACCAAAATCAGCAAACAGAGAGAAAAAACTTTTCCTCATCCTTCACACGTCACTATCTGATTGAAAAATTGAATATGAAACGGAATAAATATTTCATTCGTGTAGACATAAAAGTTTTTTTCTTATTTTATGAAGTCAGTCTCCCTCATTTATGGCAGACAAGAGCGGCAGAACGCATAGGTAAGCAAAAACACTTTATGAATGCACAAACAGAAAGCAAATTAACTCAAGTTTACGTTGTAAAAATAACGGCAATTCCGATACAATTTCCTCAAATAAATATTGATTTTTTTTCTCCGTTTCTCGTCCTTTTTTCAAGCTAGCTATCGAAGCTTATTCATCTTCAAATAGCATCTCGTAGAATAAATGTTGAATATTGAATTTTGGGCCTCATTCGGTCGACCGATTCGAAATAGGTGCGGCCCCCATTGTTTGTACATCCATTTCAATTGGCATAACAGTATATGAGTAAGTATCTGCTAGGTTGTATTGAGGATGGATAAAATTGAATTATTTTCATTATCCTTCAACGATACGTGCTTGAAATAAATAAATATTTCATTCCTCAATAGACTGATTTTGCCAATAATTCTTTTCTCATCTTCTATAACTTTTTTTTTATAGATCGTTAAATCCAATTGGTCGCGCGTAGGATTGGAAATGAATGTAAAGGACGAGAAAAGAAAATTTGTGTGCAATATTATTATTTTTATCTCTTTTATAGCCTGTCGAATGACTTTTTTGTCAATTTTTCAGGTTTAGAGTAATTTTTAAGGGACATTAAGTAGCTGCTTTAGCTGTGTCTTTCTGAAGGGTGATTAATATTTGAATAAGTCAGACAATCTTTTTACTTCGACGGAATTTAATCGATTTTTTTTTTAATTCCTGTTCCATTTTCATATCCACATGACTTCAGGTCTGTCAAGGAGATCATAATACACTTACTCAGGCTTAGTGTGGACTGAATATACATAGATATGGAGCTAGAGGGTTAGTATTAACTTTAAGATTAGTTTTTGATGAAGATCCAATTTAAAATTGTGGACTCCACCTCTGATCATGTCCCGTTACTTCATACAAAGCACATAATCCATTCCATCCTTAACATCTCATAAAAATGGAAGCAATTCACTTACTTTGCATTAAAAACACAAATCAACTTACGTTTGCATGCCTTTTTATGTGCAATTGGCTTCGTTGGATCACGATAAAAGCCTTCTCGACAATAATGGCAATGTCGTCCTGTTGTTGCATGTCGACATCCAACACATACTCCACCAGAGACGCGACCTGAGAGTTTGTATAGTTCCATATTGAAGCGGCATTGTCTCGCATGTCCATTGCATTCACAAGCTGGAAAAAGAGACAGAAAAAAAATTGTTTATTAAAGAATTTTTACAGAGAATTGAGACTGAATTGGATCTTGAGGAATTTTTATTTCTCATCCACATCCACAATGGCAAACAATGGATTGAAATTGATTTAATTCAGATGGATATTGCAATGTAATAAAAAATATATTTTTATATCCTTCAAACATAATAGATTGGTTGGCAATAAATGATATTGAGAGATAAAGTAAAGGAAAGAATGCAGACAGAACCTATTGAAATTTTTTCTGCCATAAAATTATTTAAAGATTAAATTAAATTCTTCGAAAATTTCACAAATTTCTTCTTTTATTCTCATTCTTTTGAAATGTTATGATTCAATTTAAGGATTAAATTCTTTAAACAGATAAATGTAGAAGAAGGTATCATAAGCTAGATTAAGGATTTTCACCTTTTCTTCAGGTAAATTGAATGAGATTTCTTTACTTTGCTGCAATGAATTTCAGTTATTTAATTTTTATGGATGCTTGCATAGGTCATATTAGATATAGGGTAAGTTGTTGGATTAGAAATTCATATAAGAATGTGAGAGCCAAGACTTTTAAGTTTATGCTTCATCATTGACTATCTCCTTAGTCTAACGAACGCCTGGATTGGATACGTTGATAAGGATGGCTAGAGTCCTTAATATTATGAACTGGCAGAAGGTCTCAAAGGATAGAGCTGTCTTTAGACAGTCTATGAACACGGCTCACGTGTGACCTAGCCAAGGAAGTAAGTAAGTTTCTCCTGAGTTATCATTTAGACAACATTTCAATCTATGCTGTTCGGGTTTGAAGTAATAAAATCAGCAATAATCATACATAAATTTCCAAACCAAGCTCATTTCCCACCTTAACCAAAAAAACCAAAAAACTTTTGTCAATACATCTCCCAAAGTCAGCCACAAAACTCAATAAAACTAGAAGTGAGGAAAATTTTTCTTATTGTTGTTTTGAAATTTATTACAATCCGAGCATATTTCAATTTTATGAGTCAGTGCTCTGTGTACTCACAAATTTTCTATGAAAAAGCTTAAATGAGAGAATGAGGCATTCAAAATGTGATAAATTTCATGCAATTTTCTCATTCTCAGCTTGTGAAACTATGTTCAATGTTCAGTCATTTTTGTGTACATAAAATTCATACGAAAAAAAAGAAGGTAGAAGTGCTTCAGATTTGATGAAAAATGTGATGCAATAAAGAACAACAACAAGAGTCAGTCAGGGATGATGATGTGAAATAAACAAAAGTTATGTCGAACATTTAAGGAATTGAGGCGAGATCTCATGGGAAATAGTACAGCACAAAGTTCCATGTGTACATGACGATGAAATTTTCTCATTTTCTAAATGACTTTCATCATGTTCTTGTAGCTGATTCCTTTTGTTTTAATACAACAACTGATCTATGTCTGCTTTAATGAATGAGAGGGCAGTAACACAGCTATTCTGTATCGATAATGATTTGTAATTAACTTTCTGCCCTTTTCTCATGTCAATGTGCTTAATCACTTCTCGTCGACTTCTTTATATGTATTTTTCTCAATACGGAAACAATCAGCAATTTGTCTTACGTCTAACAAGCCAAAATAGACTTGTTATAAATTTATTCACCGACTTTATCAATACAATATAATCAAAAAGAAATTTCAATGAATTTAAATCAGCTACGCATACGCCACTCGATTTATATATTTATATTTTAAGACAAATTGAATTCAATTTATTTCCATTCGCTTCTCATTCTCGTCCCACGCAAATTATTTAAATCGTCATCATCAAAAGCGAGATAACGTCTACTGACATTGCTTATTGTCATTATGTTGTATGTTGTTGTTTTTTCTTTCTTCTATTGAAATACACGGATTCAACTGGTTGGTGTAGATTTCATTATTCGATATTAAATTGATATGCCGCATACCGATTTACATAAGTATGCATGCATGAAATATTTTTTTTCGAGCTTGGAGTGCCTTTTGAGGGAAATAGGGCAAAGATTTTTGTGATTACTAATTCATGAGGCTGGTTTTTTTACATATCCCACTACCCTAGATGTTGGTTCAAGGATATATCTTAACGCTCCTTCAGAGGTATAACTCACGTGCTCAAAGAAGAGATCTCTGGTGGACCCTAAAGTTTTTAAGACTGAACATCTAAAGATTGGATATCTGATGATATATTTCTGGATTCTTAACTTGCTAGTTCAAGTATTTCATAAAGAAATCATTCCACATGCCACATACTCCCCAAAAAAAGTAAGATTCATCATTACCATATTCGAATTTCATTGTTACAAATGAAATGTTTATAGCAACACACTGCATGATACAGAACACTTCATTTCTTCTTTCTCTCTGCAGCTTCTCCGAAATTGGTTGAGCAAACAATCAAAATGATTAGATTTAAGTACAAGATTCATGTCAGATTTATTTAAATTTATTTTCATCGCAACTTGATTCTTCTGTTTACATTTTCAATTTCAATTCATAATGAATCTTTTGTTGTTGTTTGCTTGAATTTGAATAATTCATACAGTTGATGTTTGATGAGAGTTAATAATTTATTAGATGTGATTTACAAGCTGAGGAGGGAGTTAATTAATTTTTTTTCTCAAATGTTTGTAAACATGTGAGGAGGATAAAGAGTAATTAAGTAGGTTGATTGAACATCCGTAGGCAAATTGCAGAAATATAAAAAAATATTATAAAGGCAGAAAGGGGGATGGTGTGTTCAAGACCCTGTGTACAGCACTGATTCGCTACCTTTTTGTAAAGGTTCTAGTAATTTACATGAATATCAAAAACAGCCCAATCTAAATCACAAAAAAATTGCAAATTTCAATACCAGATAACCCTCGTAGCTTAATTGCTTTGACCTTTAATATTTCATGCCTTAACAACCGATACACTTGCGAATATCCAAAACAGGTAAGCAATTCATAGTCAAAGCAAAGCAAAGAACATAAAAATTATCATATTCCTACTATAAAGTCATAAAGATTTAATTTTTTGATAAAGTTAATTGAAGTCAACTGCAGTAACAATTAAAAAATTGAAATTATATTCTCTCTTATCAGTGAGACAAGGGAAATTTTTGTTGTGCTGCCATGGAGTCTTCTTCCTTTTAAGCTACCATAAGAAGCAATTTTGTGAACGAATAAACAAGAACTTTGTCCTTGAGATAAAATTAGAAAGAATTCTTTGATTCGGTTTTGGTGCATGTTCTAGAATATTTGAGGGGGTTCTTTGAATGGTTTTATGAATTTTTTTAGATTTAAATGCTAATAACACTGGTTATTTTGGATTGTGGTCTACAATACATTAAAATTCGCTATATTAAGTAGCAAATCTTACTCAAAAACTAGTCTTAAAATGCACAATTACATCCTACTACTCAAATTCTGCACGATTTCCTCACAAATGCATCCAAGCACAGCACTTTCCTAATATATTCATAAACTTAATTATTAACTTTTCCACCAGCAAACTTCACAAGGCACGAAAGACAAAAAGTTCAAAAACAAGTAGCAGAATATGAAAATGAAATTACTTTTTTTATTTGCCGTTCTCTTCCGCATCTTCTTGTTCCTCTTTTTTCTTTCTCATTTACTATAATTAAACGAAATTACATGCAAAACATTACACAAAAGAAAGAAGCAAAATAGAAACGGTAGCAATAATTTTAATCAAAGTTGTGAGTCGAGAATTTTCAATTAACATTTTCCCCGTCTACTGAAGCTACATAAGAAGATGCAGTAGTGCCACGAAATTCCAACTTTTTACATTAAATTTTTTTTGATTTATTTATTTTTTTTATGTGCTCAAAATATTTTCTGCTTTGTCATATTCAATTTTCTTAGGAATTTGCTCTTTTTTGTACAAATTGAAGATGATGAACTTAGTTTTAGGTTTGAAGTCTGACAAAGTTTGTTGTGATATGAACTTTTTGATGAAGTTTTGAAAGTTTAGTTTTCGTGAATTTTTGGGACCGTTTGGCTTTTGAATTTTTAGTATGCCACCCCCCCCCCCCCCCCCCCTCTTTGATGCCACTAAATTATTTTTTTTAAAGATGCTCATGTAAATTGCTGATTTTAAGGCTCAAATGGTATCTTTCCCAGGTCAAAACTGATACACCCAAACTGGAAAGTCTTCAAAATTCCACAAAAAAATTCCTCAACATCCTTTAGCATTCACTTAACCATCAAACATCTCATTTAAATTCAAATCAATAATTTCATCGACAACAATTTAAATCATTTATGCCAAATAAACTGACATAATTTCTCAATAAATTCAATTTATATTCAGTAGGAATCAGTATACAAGGAAATCATATACATGGAATTACTGGAGTGAGATTATTCATCACTCTGAATGAGATTCTTATTAAATTTCTCATTGTTATTTCCACATTATATTCTACTCACTTCCATATCTGTTATTACTACATTCTTTATTTATTCAATAATATTGCTTCAATCATCAGCATCCATAATTCATACATAAACAAAGCATTGATAAAAATCTCATTTTTTATCATTCAGCATATCTACGGCGATGTCATGTGTAAAAAATAAATAAATATATTTATGGAATGTGGTTGTAATGCTCTCATAACAATCAATCAATCATTAAAATTGATCAATTAAACCAACACAATGGCAATCTGAAAAAGGTTTTTGTGATTTTTTTTTGCTCTCTCACATGCCGTACAAAATTGAATTGCAGAAAAATAAAATGAAATATGGTTCTTGAATGAGTGGCATGGTACATACACATATGAGCTGCTCCCTCTTTTATCATTAATACTGAATTATGGAGTATTGGTGAATAAATATTATAAATTATGAAATCGCTATCCAAGAAACATTATTAAGGAACACAAATCCATCCCTAGTGAAGCAAAAAAACCAGAGAGAAAATTATTCCATCCAAAAAACCAAACATGCACATAAATCTGATACCACAAAAAAAAAGAACCT